CACCATCTTCACTATACATAAAATTGATCCGGTCCCATTTGATTGTCAGTACGAATTTAAATTTGCAAAAAGTAAAAATGCATGTAGGATTCGAGTAGCGAACTTTACTTTATGTGGTTATATTTAGCTGATGCGATAGCTAGCCTTATAATCATGCTTACTTTGATGTTTGAAGACAACACTGAAATTAATGAGATAATATAAAATAAAGCATCATAATTATATATAATTTTAAACATTATAATAAAGTTTATACTGCTCTTAAGCTATTTTTAAGCTTAAATTATTTTTGGCTATCTGACACAATTATATAACTATAAGAAAATATCTCATTCTAAAATAGTTACCTAAGTATAAAAAAGAGATTAAAATATGGATAGTTTTGCAATCTGGTAATGAGTAAATTTAGATAATATATGTAAATTTTTTAGGAATATTAATTCTAAAAGCTCGCTTGTGCTTTTAGAAATCGTTATTCCATATAATGTGCAGATAGTTTCTAAGAGCATTCAATTTGATGAATTTGGAAAACAAAAGCAAAAATTTAAGTAGCTATAATACTTCAGTAGATATATTATTTTAGAATTGAAGTTTTATATATATAAAACTATTAAAACTTAAATTTAAAGTAACCAGTAGACTATTTATATTATATATAATTTACAGTTTGTATCTTTACATTACAGAACTCTTTTTGAACCATGAATCAATTATGAGGAACTTTCAAATTTATTGCTAGAATCATTTTTATTTATCGTAAAATGGTTGAAAGAGTATGATTAACAGGTTTAATTAACTCTTTAGCATTAGTTGCACATTATGATTAACAACTCATGCCACAAAAAAAAATTAAAATTTTATTATATACCACATTTTGCTCAAAAAATTTTGCAAATTCTCCAATATAACATATTTCTGTATTTGGATTTAAAATCTTTGAAGCTAATTCAGGTATTTAAAATAAAATAAAATTGCAGGATTATTTATGATTTCTACTTACCTCTATATAAATTAAAATTTTATATAATTCTTTTTATGTCTTCTATGATGATAAAAACAAATGGATCCCAAACAATTTACAAAATGGACAAATTAAAATCCTTTCATTGCTATACGTATCATCGATC